ATCCAGGAGGTGGTGGGAATCTGGAACTCACCACCTGTAAGGGTGTTGGAGGTGGATACCATCATGACATTTAAATAAGTATTTAGATGTACATTTGGGCTGCCAAGGCATACAAAGCTATGGGCCAAGTGGTGGAAAATGGGATTAGTACGCTTAAATGGTTGTGGTGGTCAGAAACAGACATGATGGGCCAAAAGACCTTTTTCTGTGCTGTAGACCACTGACTATAATAATAAAAACCAAAAGAACTGTGTATGCTTAAATCAGGAACAAAAACAAAGTTGCTGGAAAAGCTCAGCAGGTCTGGCAGCATCTGTGGAGGAGAAAGCAGAGTTAACATTTCGGGTCTGGTGACCCTTCCTCAGTTCGCAAAAAAGACCCTGAGCTACCTGTTGCCTGCTACTTCAATGCACCACCTTGCTCCCTGGCCAACGTCTGTCTCCAGCTTGCTGCAGTGTTCCAGTGAAGCCCAACACAAGCTGGAGGAACAACACCTCATTTTCCACTTGGGGACCCTACAGCCCTCCAGACTCAATATTGAGTTCAATAATTTTAGGGCCTAAACTCTCCCATGTCCCAGCCCCCCACCCCACACACCAGGCCTTGTAACCACATAGCCTGCCATTACACACCCCCTGTTAGTCACTAACAGTCCCCATTAACAACTATTCACCCTCCCAGCCTGATCGTTAGCAACTCCTTTGTCTGTCCAACTGTCTTTCTCTCTCTGGGCTCTATTTTATTGCTTATTCCCTACCCCACCCACCTCCCTATTTTCTGCATATAAACTGACATTTTCCCAGCCACCATCAGTTCTGAGGAAGGGTCACTGGACCCGAAACGTTAACTCTGTTTTCTCCTCCACAGATGCTGCCAGACCTGCTGAGCTTTTCCAGCTACTTTGTTTTTGTTCCTGATTTACAGCATCCGCAGTTCTTTTGGTTTTTATTTTTGAGATAAAGTTTATTGCGCACACAAAATCCCTAGCCTCTACCCTGTCCTTGTAGCTGTAGTATTAATGAGTGCTCCAAGTCTGTTTCAAATTCCATGGTAACCCCCCTGATGTTGATAGTGGGGGAATTGGTGATGGTTATATTCTATAAAAACCGAAAGGGTGGTCTCTCTCTTTTTGGTGATGTTCGTTGTTGTTCTTGTGTGATGTGAAAGTCACTTGCCTCTCATCAGCCCAAGTCTGATCTTGCCGGTCTTGTTACATTTGGGCATGGTCTGCCTCAGTATCTGAGGAGCAATGAATAGTGTTGAACGTTGCAAGGTTAACAACGAATGCCCCTATTTCCAAACTTATGGAGTGGTGGTGGTGGAGGTCATTGAAGCAGCTGAAGATGGTTAAGCCTAGGAATTACCCAGAGCAGTCCTGGACTTGAGATGACTTGAGATCTCCAAAAAATGTAGCTATCTTCCTTTATGCCAGGCATGACTCCAACAATTCCCCCCCCCCGCCACCGATTGCCATTGACTTCAGCTTTGTTGGGCGGCTTGATGTCAGTGGCAGTCACTTTCATTTCATCTATGGAGTTCAATACTTTTGTCCACGTCTGGACCAAAGCTGCTATGAGGCCAGGAGCTGAGTGACCCTGGTAGAACCAAAATTGAGCATCAGTGAGCAGGTTATTGCTGAGCAAGTGCTGTTTGATGGTACTTTGATAATCTTTTCCATCAGTTTGATCGAGAATACCTGACAGGATGTTGTTTGGCCAGGTTAGATTTGTTCTACTTTGTGTTCTGGCCACACTGGGTGATTTTCAACATTGTTGGATAGATGCCAGTGTTATAATTGTACTGGAACAGTTTGGCTAGGGACATGGCTATTTCTAGAATATTTTTTCCATTCGAGTGCTGGAATTTTAGCAATGTCTCTAGCCTTTGAGTCCAGCATCTTCAGGTATCTGTTGATGTCTGTGAAGTGCATCAATAGGCTAAAAACAGGTAACTGTGATGCTGGCAACCTCAGGCAGAGGATGCTACAACAGTGATGGGAGTAATGTACTGACTATTCAGCCCTATTACTCAACCGATCACAATTTAGTGTATGTTTGCTTCACTTTCCAAAAACGAATAACTGCTTCTATTTTGTACAGCTATTAAAAATAACAATTAAATGAAATTTCATGACAACTGACATGCATATAGTCATCATGTGTGTTTATTTGTTAGTGATGCAGCTTGTGTGAACAAATGTCTAATTTGGGAGTCAAGCTTCATAAAGTACATTAACCGCCACATTGTACTGACACCTGGCTCTTAAAGTCCTGAGATGCACTGAGCTACCACTTTAGTCTGAATAATTATGAAATCTATCCACATACTGGTAGAAAAGGAATCTTTGGGTGGAGGAGAGGATGTTTAAATATTATGGAAGTATGCCAAGTCGTACAGAGTTTGATTACAGAGAGAAGTAAAGAAAATAGTAGAAGACCCCACTCTTGAACTTGATCCCAGCCAGTCTACTACCTGAAAATATTATGCTGAAATGATATGCTGTGAATTTTCTATCTTAACCCACCTTGGTTTGTGATTCACCCTAAACTTTCAACCATCTTTGGTCATCGCTATCGGCAGGTGGATTGAATTTTGTGCTCTGCTGATATCTTGCTTTTGGAGCGTAAACCACTAGACACTACTTGTGCATCTTCCAGCTTGAATCCAGTCTTGAACATGTCTCGTTTGAGGTGTAAATTGATAATGAGGCAGTGAGTATGATAGAGCACCTGGAGTCTCAATGAATGACAGAATCAGCTGTGATCTTGTTAATCAATGAGTCTTAAGGGTTTAGAACAAAACAGGAACAGTGGAAATGGGAGATGAACTAAGTCTAATCACTAACAGAAAAATAATCCAACAAAGGGAAAGAAAGATTAAGAGGGAATAAAGATAGGAAAGTAAGAAAATATAAATTTGACATCTTTTAAAAACTTCTATTTGTCATTTGTCAAAAGTGATATTAAATTCTAAGGTTCTTGAGTAGATTTGAGTAGATATTGAATTGTTTAAAATATTCCTTTTAGGCCTAAGTGATTTTTATATTACATAATCCATTAAACTATAGGAGGATGCTATTGTTATTAATTACCTAATTTATATGGTGAAATGTCCAATTAATGAAAAATGAGGAAAAAAATTAAGAATAACAGGGATTAGGGGAGAGATAACATTTGGTATTAAAGGAGCAGTGTGAATTGATCAGGTTCTGGAGATTTGCCTCTCAGTCTCTGTTCATTCTTTGATTTTACTGCTTGATTTGCACATTGCTGAATACATGAAATGGGTAAAATTTGTAGCACTGGAGGAGGCTATTTGACTTATCATACATCTGTTCCTCACTTCCCAGCTCCTGGTCTGAGGCCTTGGAGATTATGGCACCACAAGTGCATGTCTGAGTATTTATTTAAATGTGAAAAAAGTTTTTTTTGTCTGCATGCAGACTGAACTAGACTCTCATCATACACTGAGTGAGAGAATCACTCTTAAGTTCCCCGCTCATCCTTACACCAATCCTATTAAATTTATGCCCCCAATTATTGATCGCACTAGGAATGGATTGGGTCTTTCCAATCCACTCTGTGCGCTTTGCTAACAAACTGGTGTTCCTAGAAGACTCAGCCTAACCAGAACTCAGAATTAATAGCATGTGCACCTTCTTAATAATTTGATACCTCATCATGCAACACTAAAACATCTCCTCAGATGAGAAAGAAAGATCATTTAAATTTACTGATAGTTCAGTATCATTCTGGCAAATGGTAATTTTAAAAATTTCAAGAATCTAAATTAAATTTATGATTTTTATTTCCACCTTGTATCTCCTGTTTTTACACCCTTTTAATCAATCTTTCTTTCCATCCTTTAGATTCTCTTTCTGTAACTGCTGTAACTCCAACTCTATCTCCATTGTTCTGAGGTTCTGAAGAAGGGTCACTGAACCCAAGACATTGACTGTGCTTTCTCTTCATAGATGCTGCCAGACCTGCTGAGTTTCTCCCGGCTATTTCTGGTTTTGTTTCCCATCACCATTGTTCCTGTTTTATGAATGCAGACAATAGACAAACATGGTCATTTAACGGTGAATTCGCTCTACTGTATGTTATAAAGACTGATTTTCTGTATTGTTGAACTACTGTTTTTATAATGCTGTTTGTACAATATTTTATTCCAAATCGCTGGTTTGAAAGTGTTTGGAAAAGGCATTTTGTGTAGGATCTCTCTGTTGAATGATACGTAGAATTAAACTTAAGTGACTGTCAACAAATAATGTTGCTGAGGGCATCACTCCTTATTTATCTACCACATAGGAGAGCTCTACAGGAAATGTCTTGTACCCTGGGATCTTTAACTTATAGTATAACATGGTAACAAATGGAGATGGAGGAATGGCAGATGTTTGTTGTAAGACTGAAGTAAGTTGGAGGTATCTCCTTTTGTAATATTGAGAGATTGGGATTCAATTAACTGGCTTTCCTTTGTATCATAGATTCATAGAATCCCTACAGTGTGGAAACAGGCCCTTTAGCCCAACAAGTCCGCACTGAACCTCAGAGCATCCCACCCAGACCCATCCTCCTATAACCCACCTAAGCTACACATCCCTGAACACTACAGGCAATTTATCATGGCCTATCCACCTAACCTGCACATCTTTGGACTGTGGGAGGAAACTGGAGTACCCGGAGGAAACCCATGAAGACACTGGGAGAATGTGCAAACTCCACACAGACAGTCGCCCGAGGGTAGAATCGAACCTGGGTCCCTGGTGCTGTGAGGCTGCAGTGCTAACCACTGAGCAACTGTGCCGCCCCATTTCCAGTATGGCTGTTTTTTGGGAATTTTGAATGTCATAAAATTATCTCTCTTGTTGGAATTCGAGCTTGAATTTTGACAAAGGAAGACCAGCTAGAATCATCGTTGAGTTCTGACAGTTAAAAATCAATGCTCGAGTGCTTTTCAATATAGTTCATGTGCCTTATTCTGTGTTGTCTTTGCAGACTTACGTAGCCAACATTCTAATAGCAGTGAACCCATACTTTGATATACCAAAACTGTATTCATCAGAGACTATTAAGAAGTACAAAGGGAGGTCCTTGGGCACTCTGGCACCACATGTCTATGCTATTGGTGAGTAATTTGGTGTAACACCTGGTCACCCGTTAGCATTGAAACCTATCGCTTGTGCAGTATGCTGATGTAAGTTTCCTCCAACTTTTCATGCGATATACTCAGTTTTGAAGAATAATGGAGTATTATATAAAATAAAAAGATGCAGTGTGTTTGAGGTGTAACATCATCTGGCAACCGTATGTTAAATTCTTTGTGGTGCTGAAGGAATGCGATGCTTTAGTTGTGTTCCCATTTCTGTATTTTAAAGGTAATTGGGGATTAACTCACTCCTCATTTGTTCTCTCTGCTTGCTCATTTAATGATCCAGCCAAGTCCAGGAGGTTACAATACAGTTCTTGGATTGCAGGACACATTGGATTCTCTCAATACTGTATCACCCCCATAAAATGTCAGCCCTTTAAAAATGAGTTAAATATTCTTGTACAGTGTTTAACATATTGTGTATCATCAGTCCAAACACAATTGAATTACAAGTTAGCTGTTTCACAAAACAAGTCTTCTACAAAACTAGCTTCTTTGCAGTTGAAAGGGTTCAAGTTGCATTCCATTTTGCCAATGAATTGTTTTTGGATGAGCTTTGAAAATGAGATTTAAAATCATATTTCTGAAGAGAGCTTATTCTTCACGAATTTTGCACAATTCAATACTTTATTTTTAACTCATCGAAATAATTCATTGAAATGTGATATTCTGAGGAATTGATAACCTTTTATGATAAATAATTATTGAGGTGATGCTCATGTATTTAACTCTCTCTTTGATCCCAATTCTTAGCTGATAAAGCTTACCGTGACATGAAGGTGCATAAACTAAGCCAGTCCATTATTGTTTCGGGGGAATCGGGTGCTGGAAAAACAGAAAATACCAAGTTTGTTCTTCGGTATGTACAAATCTCTCATGCCATGCTCTCCCTTTCACTCCTGGTACTCTCTTTTGCCTCCCCCCATTCCCCCCTCATCCCCTGCCATGCTTGTCCATATCCATACTGCTGCCCACACTAAGCCTCATGGAGCCCCCCTACCCCACCATCTCTATTTCTTGCGATGAATATCTCTCTTGAGTCCTGTTTGTTGTGGCACTGTCTGTGGCTTTAGCAGAATATTTGCAGGAACTACCTGCACCTTTCTCTGTTCCTGACATTTTCCAGATATTGCAAAGAAGCATTCATTTATTTTATTCCTGGTTCCGTTTTGCAGGTACTTGACAGAATCATATGGTACAGGTCAAGACATCGATGAAAGGATTGTAGAAGGTACACAGTTGCTATGAAATGTAAATTTACATGCATGCAATCAAAAAATAATGAAGACTGACTCACTAGCCTTTTAATGAAAAGCAAGGAGTAATCAGATTGGAAGGTGATCAAGTGCCTGGGATGGATTGTTCTGTTAATTTATGCCAGTAATATCAGCACTTTCTGGGCAATAAAAAGGCACAAAAAGGGAATTTTAAGCAATCTACCCAAAACGCCTAAAGTTGTTTTAGATTGCTCTGAAATTCCATTGTGTAATTCAGGCCCTACTCACAAAAAGGCTATCACCCTGAGGCTGAAATTGCATGGTTTGGACAATTGGCTTCACCAAGGAAGGCTTTTTATATTTTGCACTATTTTTCTGAGGTGCGCAGGCAATATAGGCATTTTGCTCATCAGTAATGAAAAATAATTTGTGAAACTGACTAGTGTACACCAATGAGAAAGATGTTGTCAAATGGTTTGATGTTCCCTTATCCCAGCATGGGCTGCATGGTCTTCTCTGCTGTATCAATCTTTAACTCTGTAAAGTGGAGAAACTCATTTTTAACATTTATTTCCAAAACAGCTAACCCCTTACTTGAGGCTTTTGGAAATGCCAAAACTGTCCGAAATAACAATAGTAGCCGATTTGGAAAATTTGTAGAAATTCATTTCAACGAGAAGGTACCTTGAAGCATTTTTTAAAAATTGTTTACTGTTGTGAAATGGCACTCGCGTTCCCAAACTATCTCCTTGTCTTTTTGTTTCCTTCCCCCATGCAGAATGCTGTCGTTGGAGGTTTTGTATCTCATTACCTTTTGGAAAAATCCCGAATCTGTACGCAGAGCATGGAAGAAAGAAATTACCATATCTTTTATAGGCTGTGCGCAGGTGCTCCTGAAGAGATTAGGCAAAAGTTTCACTTGACCTCCCCTGATAACTTCCGGGTGAGTTCTATGCCATAGGGTTGTACTTCACTATCTTTTTCTCCCTGGATCGTCTTCATCCTTATGCTGACCCTCTGTCTCCCTTTCTTGCTCTTGCTCTCTCCCCTCCTCCCTGCTTCTCTCTCTCTTCCCCTGTCTGTCCTGCAGCTGTCTCCACCTCTTGGTCTCCTGCTGTTCCCTCCTTACCTTTTTATCGTCTGTCTGTCTGTCTGTCTGTCTCTCTTCGTCTTTTGCTATGTTTGTGTGTGTCTGTCTGTCTCTCTCTTGCTGTGTTTCTCTCTCTTGCACCCCGGCTCCCCGCCCCCCTTATGTGCATGTTCCCTTGCGGTTTTCATTCTCATTTCCTCCAGTTCCTATTGGGGTTCATCTTTCTGATGATTGCCAACATACTGATACTGGGTTCACAGCTGCTAGTTGCTATGCCCTGGTGTCTCTTTCTGGGTACTGAAGTCTGGCAAACACTCAAATGTGAACTTTGGTACTTAGTGCCTTGTCTGTTTTGATTCGTTGGGTGCTACTCTGTGCAGGATTCCAGAGGCTAAAAGTGTGGGTGGCAACTCGATTTGATCTTTGTGTTTTGATTGTTTGGTTGAGTTGGAAAAGTATAGCATTGATTCAAAATTGGGTAAACAAACATTATTGATCAATTTAATTATTCTACAATGTGAACTAGCTCTGCCTCAACAAAATGGGACTGTGGTGAAAAGAATTGCAGGAGGCAATTTTGGATTTGAGCCTAGAAAAGGTTTTTGTAATTTGAATGCCATTTTGCTTGACATTACTTTAATTCCACTGGATCGCAGTTGCCATCTGTTGCATAATTATTTGTTACACTGCTTGTTATGGAACATGGAATGCTTCTCTGAAAAGGCTGAAGATTAGTAGCCTTAAATGTCAGCCATGATACGAAGGTACCGGTGTTGAACTGGGGTGGACAGTCAAAGTCATATGACACTAGGTTAGAGTCCAACAAGTTTATTTGAAATCACAAGCTTTACCAGATGAAGAAGGAGCAGCATTCTGAAAGCTTGTGAATTCAAATAAACCTGTTGGACTATAACTTGGTGTTGTGTGACTTCTGACTTAAATGTCAACTACATCCGAAATGTGATTATCTAAAGGTCTTTTCTACGTGTTACTGGGGAAATGCTCTCACAGTAAAATACTTTTCTCTACCAGTCACCTTGCATTACATTAGCTGGGATGGGGTACATAGAGGGAAGCAATGCAAGTCATTGTTTGAAGGCTTGACCCTTTAAGTCAAGTCACCTGATATTTCATGGAAGCCCTTGGAGGGAATAACTACTCGATGCCAAATGGTTAATGACTGTAGTGCTGACGAGAAAGCATTTATTGATTCATCTCTGTCCCTTCTTTACTCTTAGTTAAAAGTATGAATTTCATCAGGCACAAGCTTAAAACAGGAGAGGCTACCTCACCACTCCAAGGGGCCTACATTATAGCTCATATTCCTATAAACACCATTGAAACAGTGAAATGTGTCCAGGTACTTCATTGGAGTGTTATCAAACAACAGTTGACACGATTCTTTTACCCTAAAAACCAACCTTTTGGATATGACAAAAGATGGGCTTCATTGGAGCATTGCCTTATCTATATATCTATTCTGTTTTAAGATGTCTAAATATGCAGGAGTTAAATATCTTGCACTGCAGTTATGTTGTCCTTTTATGGAGCTAGAGTTTTTAGGTGGCTTCTAAATGTTTTGAAAGTTTTATTGGGTAAAATTATTTGACTGTGTTTCTTGACATTAATTCCCTGTTTACCTCCAGAATACTATTATGGAAAGGGCATATCAGCCTTTGAAGCATTCCAATTCTGTAATGTCGACTGTAACAACTAATTTACAGATTTCATGAACGTCTTTAATGCCCTAAAAATCACTGTGGTAACGGTAAGACATGATTGGGTTCCATAGGTTGCGAATGATCCATTACTGTCAATTAAACCTATCTGTAAAAGCAAAAGAAGAAAATATTTGCCTTTTAAACATTATACCAACATTCTGTCCCCACACAAGCTCATGGTCGGTGATGGGTGAACTGTGATACTACGAACCCAAAGTGTGATTTCTTTAAAGAGGCAAGTAAGGCAGTTAGCACTAGAGGGCAGTGTTGGCACAGGTTCAGCAAACCAGCTTCCCTCCAGTGGCTGCAGTTTTAATTCTGACCAGTTCAGAAGCTGAACAATTTCCCTGTGGGTGTAACTAAAGGTTGGTCTGTTCTTTGAGCTTCTCGTACACTGGTTATTTTGTAAATACTACAGCTTTTCCAAGATTTCCGAATTGGTCAAGGGGCGGCACGGTAGCTCAGTGGTTAGCACTGCTGCCTCGCAGCGCCAGGGACCTGGATTCAATTCCACCCTCTGGCAACTGTCTGTGTGGAGTTTGCACATTCTCCCTGTGTCTGTGTGGGTTTCCTCTGGGTGCTCCGGTTTCCGCCCACAGTCCAAAGATGTGCAGGCTAGGTGGATTGGCCGTGCTAAATTGCCCATAGTGTTCAGGGATGTGTAGATTAGGTGGGTTAGAGGGGGATGGGTCTGTGTTGGATGCTCTGAGGGTCGGTGTGGACTTTTTGGGCTAAAGGGCCTGTTTCCACACTGTAGGGCTTCTATGATCTTCACTTTGCCCTGTTCTGAAAATATCCGACCATCATGTGTTTTAAACTGCAGAACATATTTGATTCAGTCTGAAGGGTTAAGTCTATTTCTAAAAGGTTAAAATAAAATCTGTCCCAATGTCTAATCTCAGACATCGATCGGCATGCTGTATTCACTTGGTTACAACAATTATGGATTGGGTAAAAACTGGCTTATTCTTACATCCTGAATTTAAAGGAAAGTATAAAATTTAGGGAATGCTGGAATAGATATAAAGTCCCACCTTGCACCAGAAGATGCCAAAATTGTCATCTTCATGATGTGCACCCCCAGCTATTTTCTATTCTGATTTGAATTTTCAATATTTTGCCCTTCGTTGTTGTGAAATTGTTCAGCAGGGTGAAGGATTAAAGAAATCATTGCATCAGATCTTTCCAGAAACCCGGACAGTGCAGTCATTCACTGAGTAAACACTTGAGTTCAGAGTATCACAAGGTTGGTTTCCTTTAACATGGAAGGTGCTGCAGTTTCTTGTTCAAGACGCACACCTCGCTGTGCGCTCAAATATATAGTGGCAGATGTCACATTCACAATCTATTTTCGTTGATATCTCTTTGGAGTAGTATGGCAACCACTCACCATGTAGATTGCAGGGATCAAAGTGAATTCTATTTGCCTAATTCTTGCAGATCCTACCTACCGTCACAGATTCCACAGTAGTTATTTCTGCAAGCCTGGTCTCTTGAAGCCTAGCCTGCTTTGCTGCTTATCTGTGTTGCATCTGCATCAAAGCAGGCTAGGCCTGGGCCTCTTCGCAGGTACTATTTCTAATTGGAGCTGAATTAAAGAGTCAGCAGTAAATGTAAGCCTAATTCATGCAATGGATGTGTTACCCTTTTGAGTCTTGAAAATCATTATCACTTTTTAAGTGCATTGGGTATCATTTGCATTTAATGTTCTCACCCAAGATAATGTGAAAGGGGGGTGAGGCCTCTCTCCGTCCAGGACCCTAGGGGTGGGGCTCACTCCATCCTGGAGAGAGAGAGCACTTGTGCTCAGTCCAGATTCTATAGCAGAAGTTGGGGAGAGAGAATGCATTCTCTTATTCCGTATAGATAATGAATTGTTAAGTTTCCAATGTCACTTTCGGATTTCTTCTAAGATTTTGAATGCGTAATTGTCAGATTTTCTAACGTTCTCACTTTCTGTTCCATTGTCTGTGTGCCCTTTCAGTATTTCATGGATTACAGATTTGTAGGTGCTTTTAATTGGATTTGTTGCTTTAATTTTACAAATATTCAATTTGTGTAGTTAAGGGAGAAGTATCTGTGTGCACGATTCAGTAGATATTTTGTTAATGTCAAAGGACTTCCATAGCTTTCAGCTTCTCATTTTGGACCTCATCCACCTGCAGGTGAAACTGCAATAACGACTGAAATACAGTTTGTCAGAAGATAGTTAGATCGGATTTCTTCAATGTGCAACAAAACTCTAACCTGTATAGCTGATTGGACTATAAGCTATTTATAATGCATCTTTTTTGTAAAGAACCACCATTTTTTCGTCAGTTCATTGAATCTCCAATAAACTAATGTCACAAGTATATATTTTTAGTCTGTTATACCTTTAAGGTGTCCATTGACAAGTTTTGTCAAAGCGTTTTCATAGGAAGTGTGAATTTATTTAACATAGCTTGTAATGCACATGACAAAGAGTTTTAATTTCTTTCATATCCAGCAGATGAAAATAAATATAAAAACACTTCTGTGTTAGTCAGAGGTCTGTGGTACAGGAAAAGATCCTTTGCCCCATGAAATCCATGCTGGTCAAAACAACTGCCAAACTATTCTAATTCCATCTTCTAACACTTGCCCCATTGCCTTGTATCCTTGGTGTGTTGCATGTGCACATCTAAATATTCTTTAAATTTTGAGGGTTTTTGCCTCTACCACACTTTTATAAGTAGAGAGTGCCAGATTCCAGCCACCTTTTGAGTGAAAAACGTTCTCCTCCCATCCCCTCTCAAACTCCTGCCTCTTATCTTAAATCTATCCTCACCACCACCCTGGGCATTGATCCCTCTAGCAAAAGGAAATGTTCCTTTATTGAATACTCTGGCTCTGCCCCTTTATAATTATCTACATCTCATTAATGTCCCCCACTCCCTCTGTCTCCTCTGCTCTAAGGAACACAAACCCTGTCTGTTCAATCTTTCCTCATAACTGAAACTCTCCAGCCTGGGCAACAACACTGGTATGTCTCACATGCACCCTCTCCAGATTGATTGTAGTTTATTTTTTGTTCAGATAAGCAACACACAGATTCAGAGTCAGACAGTACAGAGAAGGGCTTTCAGCCCATCGAGTCCAATTTCCTGCAATTGTCCCATATCCTTGAATTTTCTGATATTTGAAGTTCCTGTCCAAATATTTTTTAAAGATTATAAGTTTTCCCGCCTCCACTACCTTCCCAGGCAGTGCATTCCAGATTCCCACTGCTGAGTGAAAATGTTTTTTTCCCAAATCTCTCTGAATCTCCTGCCCCTTATGCTAAAACTATGCCATCTCGTGATTGACCCCTCAACCAAGGGGAACAGCTGCTGTCTCTTCATCCTGTCCATAACACTCATAATCTTTTATACGCCTAAATCATATCCCCTCCCTCCATCTTCTCTGCTCTAAAGAAAACAATCCAAGCCTATCTAGTCTCTCCTTATAGCTGAATTTCTCCATGCCTGACAACATCCTGGTGAACCTCATCTGTATCCCCTTTAGTGCTATCACATACTTCCTGGAGTGAGGTGACAGAACTGCACACAGTACTCAGAGGTGTGGCCTAACCAACAATCTGTACAAATCCAATATTATCTTGCTGTATACTCTATGACATGACTGATGAAAACAAGTGTCCCATATGCCGCCTTAACTATCCTGTTCATGTGCTCTGTTGACTGCAGGGAGATGTGCAAATTAGCCCAACATTTCTGTTTCTCTAAGCTTTATCCAGTGTCCTGCCATTCCTTAAATACCCCCCTCATCTTGTTTCTTCTTCCAAAACGCATCACCTTTAACTAATCAGGTTTAAATACTGTCTGCCACTGGTCTGCCCGTCTGACCAAGCCATCTATATTGTCCTGTAACCTATTACCATCTTTTTCACAATTAGCCACTCTTTGAATCTTGGTGCCGTCTGCAAATTTGATTATCCTTTCCCCCCACATTTTAATCTATATCATTTATGTATTGAACAAACAGTAAGGGTCCCATTGTTGATTCTTGTGGTACACCGCTGGACACCGGCCTCCAGTCACTCAAACAGCCTACTACCACTACCCTTTTGTGTCCTATTACTAAGCCAGTTTCTGATCCATCTCCCCAACTTTCCCTCAATTCCATGTACTTTAATCTTCTCAATCAGTGTTCCATGTGGGAGCTTGTCAAAAACTTTGCTAAAATCCAGATAAACTACATCAACTGAACTTCCCTCATTCACATTTTTAAAAAAAATTTAACAAATTTATTAGGCATGACCTCCCTTGGACAAAGCCATGCTGACTATTCCCAATTAACCCATGCCTTTCCAAGTGGCTATTAATTCACTCCTTCAGAATTTTCTCCAATAATTTTCCTACCACTGACATGTCTGCAAGTTCCTGGTTCATCTCTACTGCACTTCTTGAAAAGTGGAACCCTGTTAGTTGTCGTCCAGACCATTGGCACTTCCCCTGTGGCCAGAGAGGAATTAAAAATTTGTCAGAGCCCCTGCAATTTCCTGTGTCATCTCCCACTGCAGCCTGGGGAGCAATTTTTCCATTTCAGGGGATTTGTCCATTTTTGAGCCCTACAGAGCCTCCCCATTCCCTATGTCCAACTATGTGCAAGTTCCTCAGTCCCTTGTCCTGAATTCTGTACCTGCATTCTTCTCTTCCAGAGTGAAGACCAAAGAGAACACCCATTCCAATGTCCTGTGGCTTCACACACAGGCCCCTAATGGGCCCTGCATTTTCCCTGGCTAACCTCTTCCTTTTAAAGCATTTGCAAATTGTTAGGATTCTCCTTAATCCTATTCACAAATCCTTTTTCATGCCCCCTTTTTGCTTTCCTAATTGCTTTCTTAAGTTCCCTCCTGCACTTCCTGTGTTCCTCTTGGGCCGCAGCTGCGTTGTTCTCTTTGAACGTGCAAAGAGCCCTACTACTCATTCTTAGTCATCCCTGAATTGTCCTAAGCATCCAGGGTTCCCTGAGCTTATTGTTCCTACATTTTCCTCTAAAGGCTATATGTTGGACCTGTACACTCCCAAGCATTCAAAAAGACTTACCCACAAGGAACTGTTCCCAGTCTACTGTGGCCAGATCCTGTTTGTTTGTTTGTTTTTTTTCTTTGCAGGCCATCTTTTTCCATGTTCAAAACAAATTTGAACTGTACTGTGTTGTGGTCGCTGTTGCTAAAATGTTCCCCCACTGTCACTTCGAGCACTCCTTTCCCCAGAATGAGATCAATCTCTTGTTGGGCTTTGTGTATTGATATAAAAAACTACTCTGGATACATTTCAAGAAAGCACCCCCTTCTAAACCCTTAGCATTATGATTATCCTAATTTATGTTGGGAACTTTGAAATCCCTTTAATATAATTACCTGATTATTACTCTTACATACCTCTGCGAACTGTATACATATTTCCCACTGACTCTTTTGAGGACCTATAATACACTCGAGTAATGGGCTGCCCCTTAACATTCCTAAGTTCTACCAATGAAGTCTCGTTTGAGGACCTTTCCAAGATATCATCTCCTTATTGCAGTAATTGACTCCTTAATCAATAGTGCTACACCACCAGCCTTTTTACACCCTCCTCTGTCTCACCTAAAGATCCTACACCCTGCAACATTGAGTTTTCAGTCCAGTCCTTTCCTCAACCATGTTTCTATGTTGGCAACAAATCATACTTCCATGTATCAATCCTTGCCATTATCTCATTAGTCTTACCCATTAACACTCCTAGCATTAAAGACCATCTAGCCCTGCCTCCTTCTCTTGACACTGAAGAAGTCGGGTTGCCAGTGTTGGACTGGGGTGAACAAAGTAAGAAGTCACACGACACCACGTTATAGGCCAACAGGTTTATTTGAAATTACAAGCGTTTGGAACACTGTGTTCCTTCATCAGGTGAAAAGGAGCAGCACTCTGAAAGTTTGTGATTTCAAATAAATCTGTTGGACTATAACCTGGTGTCGTGTGACTTCTGATCTTGACACACAACATAGCTGAACTCATTGTGATTTGCTTCCTTGGTTGTAGCATAACGTCTCTATTTCATCGATATTCTATGCCCCCTCCCCCTGCTAGACTGGTTTAAATTTGTCCCAACAGCACTAGCAATCCTACCTGCAAGGATGTTGGTCCCAATGTTGTTCAGGTGTAACCTGTCTCATTTGTACATATCCCAACTTCCCCAGAAATAGTCCCAGTGATCCAGGAATCTAAAGCCCTCCCTCTTGCATCAACCTGTGGGCCACAATTTCATCTGTCCTATTTTCCTGTTTCTATACTTGCTAGTACATGGTACTGGGAGTAATCTAGAAATGGTAGCCATTGAGGTCCTGCTTTTTGGTCTACAGGACGGCATAGTGGCTCAGTCGTTAACACTGCTGCCTCTCAGCGCTAGGGACCTGGGTTCAATTCCACCTTTGGACGACTGTCTGTGTCTCCCTGTGTCTGCGTGGGTTTCCTTTGGGTGCTCAGGCTTCCTCCCACAGTCCAAAGATGTTCAGGCTGTATGGATTGCCCATAGTGTTCAGGGATGTGTAGATTAGGTGGGTTGCAGGGAAAAGGTGGGGAGATGGGTCTGGGTGGGATGCTCCGAGGGTTTGTGTGGATTTGATGGGCTGCGGAGCCTGTTTCTACACTGTAGGGATTCTATGAAGAGCTCCTTGAATTCTTGTTGCAAAACCTCATTCATCACTTTGTCCACATCATTGGTACCGATATGTATCATGACCTGTAACTCATCACCACTCTCTTTTGGGATAGCCTGTAGCCATGCAGTGACATCCCTGACCCTAGTACCAGGGCAGCAAAACATTATCCTGGAGTCATGTCTTAGGCCGCAGAAATGCCAGTCTGCTCCTCTGGCTAAAAAAAAATCCCCTGTCGCTATTGCTCTGTCCTCCTGCTTCTTCACCAAGCCCCCACCCCTCCCAAAACCCTGGTGTACAGTCAAGCTACTAGTAGTACCAGATGCCTGGCCCTGACTGCATTCCTCTGAGGTACCTTGTCAGCTTCCAAACTGGAATATTGGTTTGAGAGTGGAACCCCAAGGGACTCCTGTACTACCTGTTTGTTCTTTCTGCACTGTCTGGTCACCTATTCCCTTCCTTCCTCTAGTCCCTTGAGCTGTGGTGTGACCACCTCTCTAAATGTGCTATCCATTTAACTCATGGCATTTCATGATATTTTGGCTAAATTGGCTCCAGAGGAATTCGTGGTAGAAATCGGAGCAGTTTCTGTGCCATTCTGCAGATGTTGCTCCAGACATTGAAATATTGTTTCTGTTTGTCTGACTTGCAACATTTGCGCTGATAGATGTACTCTGTCTGCTGTACTTGAAAGTTGACTTGAATTGGTAAAGTTGTGACAAAGGTTCCTGTTGTGTAAACATTTTGTGTTTAAAACCTCTAATTGTTCAATGATCATGTTAAATTTTTGTGGTCCATCCCTCCCTCCCCTTTCAGATGTGGAATTTCCTCTCCGTTCCAGTTGAAAGGCGACTATTAGTGTGGTGAATATAACCCTGTAGGCAGTAATTGTTCTACAATCCAGGAATGCCAGATCCTTTAACCAAGAATGTTGTTGAGTCAACAATCACTTAAAGAATGCGCAATTTAAGCTCTGACGTCAATATGCTTTGACAGAAGGTTTTGTTTGTGAGGAAATGCATTTTTAAATGGGGCAGGCTACCATTGAAATTTAGTCGAGTGGTGATTGGACAAATCAACTGTTACAAATTTTGATTTTCTTTCCTTTCCTCCTGGTAAGTATTTTAATGGTTGAATTTGTTTTGTTTTATTGTTCATTTATTGTGATAAAATATCTCTCTTGTGCTAAATTAATCTCTTTGCTGTAGTATCTGAGTCGAGGATGCACCAGGTACTTTGCCAACAAGGAATCCGACAAAAAGATTCTACAGAATCGCAAGAGCCCACAGGTAAAATACTAACACGTAGTGAAATCTGCACCTGCTCCAATAGGGAGCTGCCACAGTACAGGCTATTGGCTGCATGCTGGTTAAGTTAAAAGTTTTCAGTTTTAATCTTTGAAACCCTTTGAGCCAAATAGTGCTCAAAGTTTATTGAGCTGTTAAGAATTCTGTGAACACCATTTTACAGATAAAGTTTCATTGCTCTGTTTTGGAATGCTATTGAGCAACAGTAGAGCATGTAAAGCAAGAATGCAAGGTATTAAGATCAATTGCATAAATTTTAGCTTTGCACAGTACAAATGTTAGTGAATATGGAACTGGTAGGTAAATGGAGAGTGAAGACATTGGATAACAGAACAGGTTCATGAGGCTGAATGAGTTATCTGTTTTCATGATCACAAAATGATGTGATGCAGACAGAAGAGGTTGGTTGCTGTGATGAAGGATTGTTTGATTTTAGAAGAAACCAGGAATAAATTCCCAGTCTGACTAAAGTTTTGGGGGAAAAGGCTTGCCCTGCAGTTAAGTTTTTTTTTTTGTCAGGCTTGGTCCAGCTCACACCACTGGAGGTGAAAGATTGAACTAATCTCTGAGTTGCAATATCCAGTTGCATGACCTAGAGGATATTGTGTAGAAATTCAACTCTGATCTTGAGCAGTTGACAGCCATAGGTCATCTGACTGGGTTTTAGCAGTGTTTAGGTAAGTGAAAAGCAGCTGTTGCTTTACTATGAGGTGCTTTGCCAAAGAGAATTGAAATGGTTTCATCTGGAGAGAATGTGGAATGATTATACACAATGCTCAATATTTGTCATTAATCTGCAATAGAAATATTTGTGTTTGTACTATGATATTTACAAACCATTCTATTTGGAAAAAAAACCCACAGTATCTAACTTGAGCACAACTTAACATCTTCAATTTTCATACTATCTGTCGATTGGGTTGCATCTTGTGTTTCACTGAATATAATTATACCTTTGAAGATCTGATACATTATCTGATATTTTGAATGTAACACTGTCTGAGAGAGTAGGTGTGTATATAGTGTTGAGTAGTGATATCTGTATCTTGTTCTATTTGCTGTAAACCTGCAACTATCACATATAACAGCAAGCTCAACAGCATCCCTAATAAGTCTGGAGTAATTTGCTCACTGCATTTTTTTTCTGAGCTAGCTCTCCACACCTCTTCTTGTGCTGGTTTCAGAATCCTTAGTCGTTGATCCTATACAGTTAATGTTGAATATGCTGCTTTGTTCCCATTACGTAAATATCACTGCCTCACCAAACAAAACATAAAATGCTGTTGAGAATTTATAAAATGAAAAGATTCTACTGTTCACCAGTTTAATTTTAGTTACCCAAATAATTTCCATTAAAATTCCATTTGCAATTTCTGCTATGTTTATGGTGTTAACGGACATCAGTTCAAATAAATAACTTTACCAGATTATTCTAAATCAATTTTGCTCAGTGTGGGACCAGTTTTTAGGAGGTTTATTTCTTTGTAATTGCCACTAGGTTTAAAATCTTTGCATTAGGTTTTAATGAATATTCTAAACCTTTCTGATCTCAGAGTCATATTGCGTGGAAACAGACCCTTCGGTCCAGTGTCTGTACCTTAGAAAATGTTTTTATTTAGTTTTTGATTGGGAGGGATTGAATCAATTTCACTTTACAGATTGATTTAGTTGACATTCTTGTTTCTATTACTCAATTTTAATGTGAGAGGAGAAAGATTTAAAAAAAGGGATGAGAGGCAACTTTTGCGCACAGAGAAAGGTTTGCATTTGGAATGAAATTCCTGAGGAAGTGGTGGATGTGAGTACAATTACAACATCAAAAAGACATTTGGATAAGTACATGAATAAGAAAGGTGTGGAGGGATATGGGCCAAGCACAGGCAAGTGGGACTAGTTTAGTTTGGGATGATGGTCGGTATGGACTAGTTGGACCAAAAGGTCTATTTCTGTGCTGTATGACTCCACGATACTATGACTTTAAAAGTCAATGTGGCGGCACGGTGGCTTAGTGGTTAGCAATGTTGCCTCACAGTGCCAGGGGCCTGGCTTCGAATCCCCCCTCTGGCAACTGTCTGTGTGGAGTTTGCACATTCTCCGGGTGCTCCGGTTTCCTCCCGCAGTCCAAAGATGTGCAGGCTAGGTGGATTGGCCATTCTAAATTGCTCGTAGTGTTCAGGGATATGTAGATTAGGTGGGTTTGGGGAATAGATCTGGGTGGAATGCTCTGAGGGTTGGTGTGGAGTTGTTGGGCCGAAGGGCCTGTTTCCACATTGTAGGGAATCTATTCTATGAATATCACACTTATACCTTTTTCTGATGTCATCTCCATAAGAGAGGCAGTTTCTTGGCATTGATAGCAAGTGTGCAATATAATTCACTGCAGTAAATTCACATGCAAATGGCATGAATCCGTTTTAAATGGAGCAATGTTATTGAAGTAAAATCATCTTATTTTCTTTCCCTTTTTAAATATCAGGAGGAAGAGGTGATCAGTTTTTTTTAACTCATGCATATGAAGTTTGTATGATGTAACTGTCTGTCTGTAATTATATTTGCAGATGCTTACATCACTCCTGTGTGGTGTAGTTGTAGTTGCATGCATTCATCTTTCCACTAGAGTAGTTATTTTTTGTGTATGGTTTATGCCAACAGGGTAAGGGGTAAATTCTGTAGTAGTTTCTTACTTATTTTCTTGTTTAGTGGTGTTTTTATTTTGGTATTTTGTTGGAGATGGAAGCAGGCAAGATGACCTGTTTGTATGTCAAACATCAGCTGCAGTAGAAATCTTTTCTAATTGTGGTGCTGTATGTGGTTCCATTCGTGATGAGATGAATACTTGAGACTGTAAAGAGTATTGGCGACTGTGTGCTGGGCTATACAGCTGCAAAAGGAATTTTTTAATGTAAAACCTTGTTTGTATTTGGAAATGTCCTGAAATCAGTATTTTCAAAACTGTGCCATACATTTATTTTTTTTTAAACTGGAATCCAACATGAAAGCTCTGGTTTGATATACTTCACTTTGATGAATGACAGAACTTACAGGAAGCCCATGTCCTGCGCATGTCAATCCTGACTCAGTGGGTAGGGCACTTTCATTTGTGAACCACAGGGTTCCGGGTTCAACTCCCATTCTAGGGCTTGAGCATGAGGGAGTACTGCACTCTTCTGAAAGACAGCGCCTCCAAGAGACAGTAAACCTAGGTCCCACCTGCCTACTCAGGTGGATGTGAAAAGAAAAGCAAGAGAATTGTCCCTGGTATCACTGTTAAAATATATCCCTCCATCAAGATCATAATTACCAGCTTATCTATTTTTCGTCACCTTGCTGTTGTGGAAGTTTGCTCAGTGTGGTTTGTCTGCTGCATTTCCTACCTTCGGAGTAACAACATTTGAAAAGTTCTTAATTGACTGTAAAGCATTTTAAGATGCCTAGTGGTCATGAAGCCCTCTAAATGCAAGCCTGCCTTTCTTTTTGTTTTGAAGGCCATCACAGCTGGGATTATTTCCTAGCTGACGTTCTTCAAATCCAGTGATACTTGTGTTACTTTTCCTTGTTTGATAGAGGAATTCAGGACAATAGGTATAGTTGACACTTCTTCATTGGGCAGTAAATTCACATGCAAATGGCATGAATCCGTTTTAAATGGAGCAATGTTATTGAAGTAAAATTATCTTATTTTCTTTCCCCTTTTAAATGTCAGAAGGAAGAGGTGATCAGTTTCTTTAAACTCATTATGTGAAGTTTGTACGATGTAACTGTCTGTCAGTAATGCATTTTGCACTTTTTTTTTTACTTAAAATGCGTTCTGAGGGTGGATGTGCCTGTTCTTGGAGAAGTGAAAGAAAGCGGTCTCAATAACTGTTTGAAAGAAAATGAAACTAAACTAGAGATTGAATAGAATCTAATTTAACATAGATGTTGGGAATGACATTTGCAATGAAGACAATGGGAGCTAAACAGACTATATTGAAATCCTGTGGTGATGGACTGAGTGCAGAAACTATTCTGATATTAATGAGAAGCAGGGCTGGAAGTGAGATGAGAGAGACAGTGGAATCTGAATTCATCCGTTTGTGATATATGGAATGGAATGGAACTCGGGACTCGATTTCTGTGCAAGCACAGGAGGAGAAATCATTTGCGTAAATGTGGTATCTGAGAGGCTGATTGCAAGGCTGCACTTGAAGTGGGCAGTTGCATAGCAACATTAGGGGGGGTTGTAGTGATCTGCAAGTGTCAGAGTTTAGAGTAGATAAGTGATCATTTGTTGACTTTGATTGCATTCGAAACATAAAATGTAAATAACATTGTTGAATCTTCCTTTTTTTAATAAGGAAATATATGTTGATATCTTGCACTTCAGTGTGCCATCTTGCTCTCGTCATTATCTGTCATGAGTTTTAATTTTGTATCACTTAGCAAACACTGCTTCTCCCTTTGTTTCCATGGAAATGAGCTCTTAAGCTAGTTGTACACTTAAACATTGCAATCAGCTTGGACATTATGGATAGATAAGGGCAAGAAATTCTTTACTGTCTGCAGAAGGTGGATGGGGAATATTTTGATCTGGATTTCCTCATGTACATGGTAAATCAAATATGCTGCATCAAAGCAAGTACTGCAATGGGTCTGTATTTGGGTATTATGAGTTAAATTACAGGAAGGGGAATTAGAAACAAGTGGGAATGATATTCTGAAGGCACAGGTATCTGAAGTAGAATTAATGTAACAACTGCTATGTATTACAACTGATTGTCGGCAGATCTAGCTTTTTGAAGACTTCCAGTGCAGGCAAATATATTATTTCTTTCATGGTGTGTGCATGAGAAATTGATCTACTAGTTTGCATGCATATTATAATTTTGGCATTAACATTCTGGACTGACTGTGCATGTTTCTTTTTGGTTGCATGTCCTTGATCCTTTTAGACATTAGCTGATGTGTTGCATCTTTTTCATTGTCTCCTTCCAGTGTCTTAAAGAAGGCTCACTGAAAGACCCATTGCTGGATGACCATGGTGATTTTAACCGCATGTGTGTTGCTATGAAGAAAATAGGGCTGGATGATGCAGAGAAGCTTGATCTGTTTCGTGTAGTTGCAGGTGTTCTGCACCTTGGAAATGTTGACTTTGAAGAAGCTGGAAGCACCTCAGGTATAACAACTATTTTGTCGGTGTAGATGCAGAGTGCCCTCTTAGTATTCTCCAGTCCGGTGGTCTGAAAGTTATTATATAGTGTTACTTAACTGGCTACATGTTAGACAAAATAAAAACCAAAAGAACTGCGGATGCTGTAAATCAGGAACAAAAACAAAGTTTATGGAAAAGCTCCGCAGGTCTGGCAGCATCTGTGGAGGAGAAAGCAGAGTTAACGTTTCGGGTCCAGTGACCCTTCTCGGAACAGACGACAACAGGAAGGGTCACCGGGCCCGAAACGTTAACTGTTTTCTCCTCCACAGATGCCGCCAGGCCTGCTGAGCTTTTCCAGCAACTTTGTTTTTGTTACATGTTAGACGGTTTGTCTAATAGTTTGTTGGAAAGCCAACCACTGAATGATGAACTTTGACAACAACAGAACTGTTCGCCTGATCTGAAGAGGAAAATTGTGTAAAAAATACCTGTATTAATTGTCTGTAATTGCAGTTGACTGGTTAAGGCAATGGCTAGCAATCAACTGGGATTTTTCCACTACCCCTTCTATGTCCTGATCTTGCAGTTTTTTAAAATGACTTCATACAGGTTAGTTATCGCTCAAACATCAGAAAAACAGTCCAAACGCACCCACGTTAAGTGGGGTGGCTCAGTGGTTAGCACTGCTGCCTCTCAGCACCAGGGACCCAGGTTTGATTATACTCTCAGGCGACTGTCTGTGTGGAGTTTGCACATTCTCCGTGTCTGTGTGGGTTTCTTCCAGGTGCTCTGGTTTCCTTATGCACGGCAGGTGGGAGGGGTGTGGTCTGGGTGGGATGATCTTTGGATGATCAATATATACTCGATGGACCGAATGGCCTGCTCCCACACTGTAGGGATTCGATGGATTCTATAGCGGCCTGTGACGAATTGTATCAATATTTCTTGAATTGTTTTAAATTTAAAACTATTGTTGCTCAATTTTCCTAAGTGGTAGGTGGGCTCTGATTCCTTATCGTAAAATCTCCAGAAGTTACCCTCAAATTTTCAGTGGTGGTTTGATACTTTGCATTGTTCTGTTTTGACAGCATGAACTGTCAATCTGTTGGAATTGAGGAGAGGCAGGTGCTAAACGTTTCGCTTTAGCAGGCCACAAGTCCTTTGGAAAGTGTCTCGTGGACCCTGATGTATCAGTGCTTGGGCAATTGGGAGCCTAGAGTGGAAGTTGTCTTTCTAAAAAAAAACAAAAAACATTAAAGAGCTAAATAGTGATAAGGGAAATGAAATAAAATAAATGATAACTAATACATGACAATTCAAATTAATATGTAGCACCAGTTAAGAACAAATGTTACTGTTGGTGTTGCTGACTTGCTCGCTGAGCTAGCTTGTTTTCGCTCTGATGTTTCGTCACCATGCTAGGTAATATCAGTGAGGCCTCCGATGTAATAATGATCTACTCCGCTTGGAATTTATACTGTCTGGTCTGTTATGGTGAGCAGTGTCCTTTTCCGGTTTTGTTCTGTATGGGTTTGTATATGTTTGTTGATTGCATTTTGGGTTAAGAACCATACCTCTAAGAATTCCTGTGCATGTCTATGTTTGGCTTGGCTACTTTGGTTACCTTGTCCCAGTTAAACTGATACCCTTTATTGTCTGAGTGTACTGATATTAAGCAAGGTTTGTTGTGTTGTTTTGCTGCTAGCTGATGTTCATGTATTCAAATGGCTAATTTCCTTCCTGTCTGTCAATCTGCGTGTTGTGGGAATGGAGTCTTTCATCCTGGAATGTTTGTCGTAAAGTGTCTGTGGGCTTGTGTGCTACCATGATTCCTGGTGGTTGTAGGAGACTCGTCATCAGTTCTGATATGTTCTTGATGTAGGGCAGTGTGGTCAGTGTGTTAGAGTGTACTGTGTCCTCCTGTTGTCTGTTTTTAGTAGGCACCTACGGATGAAGTTGCGGGGATATCTGTTCATAGTGAAGATTTTGTACAGGTCCTCTTCCTGTTTCCTGTGTAGTTCTAGCGTATTGCAGTGAGTGGTGGCCCATTTAAATAGTGTCCTAATGCAGCTTTGCTTGTAGATGTTGGGGTAGTTGCTGTGGAAGTTGAGGATTTAGTCAGTATGGGTTACTTTCCTGTATACAGAGGTTCGGAACTCCCCATTGGTCATACGTTCAACTCTGTCCAGAAACAGAAGCTGATTGTTGTTTTCTTCTTCTGTTGTGAATTTCATCCCGGCAAATACGTTGTTCATGAGGTGGTGGGTCTCTTCTAGTTTGTTGCGGTTAATAATGACAATGTGTTGTCCATGTACCGAAACCACAGTTTAGGTTGAATGCCAGGTTTGGGGTAGTGTGTTCTAGACTTTGCATGACTATCTCTGCGATGAGCCCTAAACTGGGTGACCCTATGAATGAGCCATTGATCTGTTTGTATGCTTGACCATTAAAGACAGTGTGTGGTGAGGCACAAGTCTAGTAGTTTGAGTCTCCCCACTGGGCACACCTTCACACAAACTGGCCAAGGACCGTCAACAGAGACTGCCTTTAATGGTCAAGTATACAAACAGAGCAATGGCACACCCATGGGGTCACCCATCTCAGGACTCATCACAGAGGCAGTCATGCAAAGACTAGAACACACCACCTTCCCCTGCATTGGATCTAAACTGTGGATCCGGTACATGAATGACACATTTGTCAATATTAAACGCAACAAACTAGAAGGGATCCACACCTCACCAACAACGTATTCGCCAGGATTAAATACACAAGAGAAGAAAACAACCATCAGCTTCTGTTACTGGACATCACAGTTGAACATATGACCAACGAGGAGTCCCAAATGTCGGTATACAAGAAAGAAATCTACTCTGACCAAATTCTCAACTTCCACAGCAACCACCCCAACATCTACAAACAAAGCTGCATTAGGACACTATTTAAATGGGCCACCACTCACTGCAACATGCCAGAACTACACAGGAAGAAGAGCACCTATACAAAATCTTCACCATGAACGGATATCCCCGCAACTTCATCCGCAGATGCCTACTAAATAGTCAACGCCAAGAGGACACAGTACGCCCTAACACACTGACCACACTGCCCCACATCAAGAACATATCAGAACTGACAACGAGTCTCCTACAACCACCAGGAATCATGGTAGCACAGCAGTCCACAGCCACTCTACAACAAACACTCTCAAGGATTAAAGACCTCATTCCCACAACATGCAGAACCAAGGTAGTTTACAAAATGTCATGCAATGACTGCCACAAACGTTACATCGGACAGACAGGAAGGAAACTAGCCATCAGAATACATGAACATCAGCTAGCAGCAAAACAACACGAACTTTCCTTAATATCCGTGCACTCCAGACAATGAAGGCCATCAGTTTAACTGGGACAAACATAACCATAGTAGCCCAAACCAAAGATATAAACACACGGGAATTCCTAGAGGCATGGTTCTTAACCCATAATGCAATCAACAAACATATAGAATTATACCCCATATACAAACCCATACTGAACAAAAACCAGAAAAGACACTGCTCACCATAACAGACAGGACAGTATAGATTCCAAGCAGAGTAGAGCAACATTGCTTCATCGGAGACCTCACTGATAGATGTTTCATCACCATGATAGGATACATTGAGTGCAAGCAAGTCAGTAACCTCACCCACAACCCGAGCTACAAATCTTTGCTAAAACTTTAAATGTTACTGTTTCCTTGTGTCCTGCTATTCTATGCATGGCCATAACAAAAATAATTCATTCAGTTTAGTTCATGTTTGGATAAATGCCTTGACTCGAGCATTAGTCCATGTTGCCTCTGAGTTTAGGTGTTGAGTTCAAGCTCCGCAATCATCTGATGGAAATGCATCACGTAGGGCAATAAGTCAATGCAGGACTGAGTGTTGGATGGAGCGTTACATGTAAAAGCTATTCTCTGCTAAACATGCAAGGTCCCTTGGCACTATTCAATCAATGGAAGTGGAGAACTGGGAGCAGTCTGTGCCCTGAAGTAAAAGCATGAAAAACAGACTATTTGCTCACATTTCTAATGAATGAGTTGTTGTAAGGTTGTAGGATTGGATGTGAAGTGATGTATTGGATGTCCTCAGGACATGCAAAATGCTTTCTAAATATGAATCACTTCTTTCCTTGATGTGTATACAATGAATAATTAATCATATTTTCAATGTCTATCTTTACTATCTTTATCTAACATTTTTCTCTTGTGCACATTGAAGAAATTTTTTTTGTTTTATTCTCTGAGTTATATAAGTAAATGTAAATAAATACTTGTATTTAACTGCTTGAATTGTATTATTAAACACTATATAGCTTTTATGCAATTTAAATGAAATATTTAATTGGTTAGTAGAATTTATCAGCATTAAAATCAAAAAAAAATGACCAAGGTTTATATTTGATTGCACATAGGAACTATATTTTCAGTCTTCGTAATCAGTGTTATTAATTGCTAGGTGGATGTGTCCTGAAGAACAAATCGAGTCAGTCACTAGAGCACTGTGCCGAATTGCTGGGGCTGGATGATGATGACCTGCGTGTTAGTTTGACCACTAGAGTAATGCTGACCACAGCTGGAGGTGCCAAAGGCACAGTTATCAAGTAGGCAAACTCCTCTGTACTACATAATCTGGTAACCCTGGTGTTTTTGAGAATGCTTTAATGAAGCTCGAGATTGTTGTAGTGATGATTGTGATTATATGCACCTCGAAGTACAGATTTCTGTCCAACAGTTTGGACATTTGTCTATTTAAGACAAGAAATCCAATCTGTCTCTGGAGACCTCAGATGATGTTACAGGTCACACATTGATCTTTGAATTTCAGGTTCATAATTTGATTTGGTTTTATTATAGTTGACATTCCTGATTTCTATGATCAAGAAGTTAATGTGGTTTTAACATTGAAAATAATAGATAAGTTCAGTATGACTTTCCAAAGGTTATTAACAATGACCAGAGTGCTTACAGTTGGTTTATAATTTCACCAGGGACCTGAATGAATTTTGCATTGGCTTTTAATGCTGGATAGTTGTGATTGAAATATGAAGAAAGCAACAGGACATGTGACAGATGCGTTATATGTCCTTTATTAGAAGAGCACAGAGCTATTGGAAGTCGATATATACAATTTGGGAAAATATCATGCACTACTCACTTACTGCCACTAGAGATCTGTGTGTTGTACTTTCTGCAGAAGTAACTGCTGAGAAGAGCAACCTGCAAAAAGCTGATGTTCACCAGTGGTCTTGTTGGACAATAATTATATCTCATTTATTATAACACCTAGGCCTAATTTCAGTTCTAAATAAAAGTCCATCTCTTTGAAAGCAGTTAGTTTGCTGTGTTGTGTCTCAGTACTGCTTATAAGTGTTTGTAAACTACTAAAATCCTGAAGTATTGCAGCTGAAGCATAATGTAATGTAAAATAAATTTGTGATGGATTATGTAATTTCTCATCAAATGCGCAAATTATGTCAAGTCCTACACGAGATACAACATTGTTTGAGTTAATTTTGCAGTAAATAGAAATGTATTGACAATTAACAAATTCACCATTGTAATTTCGGTACTAAAGAACTTCTTGAAAATGTAGCTTATACAGTTGAACATGGTGTGAAATTTGGAGAGATTTTTTTTCTTGCTACTTGTTGCTGGGTATACTGACTGATTATAAAACCTGAATAGCAATGTTAATACAGTGGCTCTGTTCCACATGAGAGCTGCCAAAAGGCTAGCACTGGATTCTATGCATTTAAAGTATCAGATCATTTCTAAATAAAAAACATGTAATTTGAGGGATGACATGGTGACTGGAGAAAGAGACTGTACAACCTTTAGTTCCTGAAATTCCTCATCGCTTGGGTTTTCTTTGTGTAATTTGTGTCTGCTGTACACCAAATGAAGAAAATTAGTTACGCTGATTAGTCAACCACTTCTAAAAAGTAATACCCAATTCCTTCCTTATTTTCAATTTGCCAGGTTGATGGAAGAAGAACTAGATGGACTTGATTTTTTATGTTTAGCAATTTGTATGTAAGAGAAAAAATGCAGAATTGTATTTCAGATTTGATAGATTAAGATTTTGAATATTTCTATCTCAAACATTTTATGAAAACACTTTGAGAACAGTACAAAGTTTTATTATTGAAACTATTGACTCTTCTCAAATAGTTTGTTCATTTTTAAAAGTGTAATTGAATATCCCTGTTCCCCATCTTAATGTCTGTTGTCTGGTGCTTTGAGAATTATTTGCTCCTAATTGTGCAGCATGTTAACAGCAAACGAAGAGTCTTAACATTCTGTTTTCTAGTGCACGCTGGCCACTTGTTCCTGTATTATCAAACAATGAAGAAATAATAGATTTGGAGCTGTATGCCTCAAAGCTGATCACCAGACTCCATAAAACCACAACTTTTTTTAATGGAGTTCAAATTATCTAATTACAATGGTGATGCCGTAGTGTAAACTCTCACATGAAGAGTTTTATTGAATCTCCTTTAGAAATGGCAACATACAGTCGGTATGTTTTCCTAATCGTTACACCCAACTAGTTTCAAAATTAGTTTCAATATTTACAATGTATTTGAGTAAAATACCTCTGCAGCCTTGTACAATGCTAGCCCATGTTTGTTTTTTCAGTGAATGGAGTGAACTGTTCCGCGAGGATAATGAATATGAGATTTCACTTTGTTGATAGAATGCAGAAAGTTTCTGTCAGAACTTCCTAGAGATGGTGGAGTAGGTGGTTTCTGATGAGCAGGTAGAAAATAAAATTGTTAATTTAATCATGGCAGATAGATAAGTAAACTGATTAGGAGAAGAACAATTCTGTGCCCCACCTTTTAGTCTTATTCACTCGTGGAATGTCGTAGCATTTATTACCCATCCTGAGCTACCCTTGAGAAGGTTGCGGTGAGCTGCTTTCTTGAACCACTGCAGGTCCTGTACTGTGGGTAGACCATTAGAGAGAGAATTCCTGGTTTTACGTAATCTTATGGAAACTTGTACTAACCATTTGAGTCTGACATCTAACTAGCATTAGTTGGTGTTTTTTTGTGTGTGGGTGGGTGACTCGGATTGTTTGATCATACGCAGATGCTTTTAACATTTAATATTTTTTTCCCCCTCTATTTGTCCTGTGTGTGTGTGTGTGTGTGTGTGTGTGAGAGAGAGAGAGTGAGACCACACAAATGCTTTTAATGTTTTTTTCTCTTCTTGTCCTATTTTTGCTCAGTTGTTTAACTTGGGTTGGGCAAGACAGGACCTTCTGTGAAATGCACCTTGGCACATCTGCCACTGGGATGAGAGAGCTGATTGGATTTTCAGAAATGTTGGCAACCACCATAAAGCTATTGGTTCCCATGATCCAAACTAAAACCATACCAATTTAAAAACATCCTATTCTTTAGCAGCTCTTTGCACCAGAAGCTAGCTTGCAGACTTAGCATTAGTATAATTCCCAGCCATACCTAACCTTTGGCCCTCTGTTTGCTGCAACATATCTGCAGCTACTGATTGGCTCAACTGTGCCCTCATCACCGCCTTTTAATGTCTGCCTTGCCAATAAAATCATTACTGTCACTGTGTCTGGCTGTTTCCAATGTTCTGATAGTAGGCTGACCTTGGTGTCATATTTGACCCTGCAATGAGCAGCTATGACATCCATGAAATAACTCCAAGAAGGCCAATAACCTGTCACCAAGTCATCCTTTATTTACGCCTGTGTAGTACAAGACACTGATCCAACTAGCTCAAAGCTGTCCCCTAGAGTGAACAGAACTGCTAATATTCCTGTCTTTTTTTAGGAAAACACCCATGTGGTCAATGAACCAGTAACAAGCAAAGCCAGATAAGGGCAATGCTTACATGGACACTCTTGTTTATATCTGTCAGCCAGGACTCCCTGATTGGACCAGGTTACCAGCCCCAGTCGGGGAACTCATATTCTGTGAGGTATTCCTGGCTGTTTTCTCTCATTCCATGCCCTGTAAAGTTGATTGTTATTTATAACTGCTGCCCATGCCCTTACTTGCCAGTCTTATTCTCCTATCATTCCTGTGCTTGTTGATTGATCTTAACTGCCAGTCAAGCAACATCTTTATTTTAACATTTTCCACCCCGGTTTACATATTCCTCCACAGCCTTGTTCCTCAGCGGATCTGTAGCCTCACAATTCTCTGCTTTATCTGTGTTCCTTTTAATGTTAGCTTCTTGTGCATCCCCAATCATTAGGTTCCTCCTTTTTTGGTGGCTGTGCTATCAGTCATTTAGACCCCTCGAAGCTGACCGCAAGCTGGAAGAACAGCACCTCATTTTCTGCTTGGAGACTGTGCAGCCTTCTGGACTCAATATTGAGTTAAACAATTTTGGGACTTGAGCATCTTCTCTCCAGTCCTTACCTCAATTTCACACAACAGGTCTTGTGATCACATGGTCTACTGTGACAAAAAACCCATTGTTAGCCACTAATGGTCCCCATTAGCAGCTATTTATTCTCTCAGACTGACCTCTACCCATTCATTTGTCTGCCCAACTGTTGCTCTCCCTCTCCCTAGGCTCCATCTCCAGCTACCATTTACACCTCTCCCTCCCCTCACCCCATCTTCAACATATAGAGCAACTTTTTCCCCAGCTGCAAACAGTTCTGAAGAAGGTTCACTGGACCTGAAATGTTAACTCTGCTTTATCTCCACAGATGCTGCCAGACCTGAGTTTTTTCCAACAATTTTTTTGCTTTTGTTTCCAATTTTCAGCATCTGCTTTGGATTTCTTTAAGGTTTTAAAAACCATCTCAAAGAAGGAAAGAGAGGACAAGATGCAGATAGGATTGAGGGGGGAGTTCCACAGTTTCCGTCTCTGCAGCTGAGGCAATTAAAATCGGGGATCTGTAGGTGGCCAGAATCTGATGGCTGGTAGGATTAGTGACGGTTACAGAAAAAAATTGTGACTGAAAATAAAATCGTAATGGAGGAAAACAAGCATTCCAACACAGTAAAACTGCAGTGAGTTTAATTTGAGTAACCAAAAGCTACAGCTCTGTTGAGGTGGTGAGCCATTCCCACCAGTGGAACAAGGGACCCAATAAAGGACAGAATACCTGTGATAAGCCAAATTTGTGCCAGCTTATCAAGTTTCTATATTGAACAGAGATGAGTTAAACCAGATTAAAGTGTGGGATCACAGGAAAGCCATCAGTCGGCCTTAAGATCTCTCTGTGAAACACTGCAAGTATGGCTGAGGAGACTGACAACCCCGAAGAGCCTGAGGAATGTCTGCCTGTTCCCTAGCTGAGCTCATACAGGCTATCGAGATGCTTGAATGGATTGTAAAGTGGGAAGAGGACAGTAATTGTTACAAGGCTTTGTGAGATGATTAAGTTTAAACTATTTCCTTTCATTCAATACAAGTCCATTAGACCAGGTTGCCATGGGGACAGATGCTCAGATCAAACCCTATTGGAAAGCAAGGTGTTGGTTTTAACAACTCGAGACAAAGTAAAAGGCATATGACCTTACCATTAGGTCTACTGATTCAGATACCCTGGACCGAGACACAGTGTGTGTGCTGGAGTAAAAAGAGGGGAAAAAAGGTACATTCTGATAGCCATCAGGAAACTAGTTGGTAGGAACTTGTTCTCTAGTCAAAGAAACAGGATGTATGGAGAGTTAAGACAAGTAGAAGACTCAACTTAGTGTGGCTGGGGTAGGGTGTCACTAGAGTGCACTTTGCAGTTGCAAGTTGATTAGGAGATTCTCCGAGGAGAGACAGATGTTGGCCAGGGAGCATGATGGTGTGTTGAAGTGGCAGGCGACTGCAAACTTGGGTCATTTCTGTGGACAGAGCACAGGTTTTCTGCAAAGTGGTCACCCAGTCTGCACTTCATCTATCCAATGTAGAGGAGACCACATTGTAAGCAACAAATACAGCAGACCATATAGACTGGTGTAGGTAAAGAGCTACTACACCTAGAAGGTGTATTTGCACCTTTGGATACTGCAGAGGGAGGAAGTAAACAGGCAGGTGTTGCACCTTCTGTGAATGCAAGAGAAGATGCTGTGGGGATATGTTGGGAGTGAAGGAGGAGTGGATTAGTACGTCCGAAAGGGAATGATCCCTGCAGAGCCCTGACAAGGGAGGGGAATATGTGTCTGATAATGGTGCACTGCTGCAAGTAGTGGAAATGGCAGCTAATAATCCTCTGGTTGTGGATCCTGGTGGAATGGTAGGTGATGTGGGGAACCCTGTTGCTGTGCTGGAGGAAAGGGGGGTGGGGGGGTGCAGGATCAGTGCTGAAGTGCGGGAGATGGGTCAGACACAGCTCATGGCCCTATCCACCATTGTAGTGGGGAATCTTTGGTTAAGCAAGAAGGTGGACATTTTGGAGGCCCCCTTGTCGAAGTTGGCATCATTGAAACAGATGTGACAGAGACAGAGATACTGGGAGAATGGAATAGTGTCTTTACAGGAAGTAGGATGGAGGATGTATAGTCAAGGTGACTGTGGGAGTTGATGGGTTTGTAGTGGATATTGGTGTCCAGCCTATCTCCAGAAATGGAAACAGATGTTGAGGAAGGGAAGAGAGATGTCAGAGATGGATTAGGTTAAGGTGAAAGCGGGGTGGAAATTGGAAACAAAATCAGTAAACTTGTCCAATTCTGGACACGAGAGGGAAGCAGCACCAATGATGTCATTGACATACTGGAGAAAGAGTTGTGGGTGGGGACAAGAATAGGACTGGAACAAGGAATGTTCCATGTACCCCCAGGAAAGGCAGGCTTAACTGGGGTGCATGCAAATACCCATGGCCACACCATTGAACTGAAGAAAATGAGAAGAGTTAAAGGAGAAATTGTTCAGTGTGAGGATAAGCTTGGCTAGGCAGAGGAGGGTGGCAGTGGTGGATAGGAGTGGTTCAGGCCTGTTTTCCAGGAAGAAGCAGAGAGCCCTAACACCACCTGGCCTTTAAACCCTATCTGGTCAGACTTTTCGGTCATCTGTGCTATATCCCTTGAAATGGCTTAGGGTGAAATTTTGTTTGGTAGTACCCTGTAAAACTTTGAGATGTTTACCTATAGCAAATGTACTTTTTGAGTGCAAGTTGTTCTTTTTTTAAAAAAAAAGCCTTGAGATGTTTGTTTGTGCTGTTTGCTTTCCTCTTCCGGTTAGCATTGATAAACTGAAGCTAATTTAAAAAGAAATCAAAACTTTAATTTTTTAAATTGTGATGGAATATTTTTAAATGCTGCTTGCAGGTTCTTCAAACATTACTCTTTTCAACAACTTGAATCATTTCACGGAGGTTGTAAAGATGTTCACGATACATGACCCACCCCTACCTGCCTTTTTCCATAGGGACCGCTCACTCCGCGACTCCCTTGTCCACTCCACACTCCCACTAACCCCACCACACCTGGCACCTTTCCCTGCAACTGAGGAAGTGCTGTATCTGCCCCTACACCTCCCTCCTCACCTCCATTCAAGACCCAAAACAAACCTTCCATATTAGACAGAGGTTCATCTGCACATCCGTCAACTTGGTCTACTGTATCCACTGCTCCCGATGTGGCCGCCTCTACATTGGTGAGACCAAGCATAGACGTGGAGACTGTCGCGTACAGATCGCAGATGCTCTACGAAACAAACAACAACACCTTCCTGTCGCCAACCATTTTAACTCCCCTCCTACCCCCTTGGTGACATATGCCTCCTCCAGTGTCACTGACACCACCCACAAATTGGAGGAGCAACACCTCATATTCTGCCTCGGGAGCCTACAGCCCAATGGCCTAAATGTGGAATTCACCAGTTTCAAAATCTCCCCATCCCTGGTCTCCTCCCATGTCCAACCCTCCCTCTCATCCCCATCTCCTTGACCTGACACAACCTGTCCATCTTCTCTCCCACCTATCCGCTCCTCCCACCTCACTGACCAATCCCCACCACTCCCTACCTGCACTCACCTATCAGCATCCCACCTACCTTTCCCCAGCCCCACCCCTCCTCTCTCTATGTACTTCTGAGCTCCCTTCCCCCTCCCCATTTCTGAAGGTGCGTCCTGATCTGAAACATCAACTTTCCAGCTCCTCTGTTGCCTGGCCTGCTGTGTTCCTCCAGCTCCATACTGTGTTGTCAGAATGCATGACACCTGTGTATCGGACAATGTTTTTTGCCCCCTTTTCTGACTGCACAAATGTGATATGCTAGATGCAGAATAACAAATCAATGTTTACATAGCATTTGAAGAGGATTACTCAACATCACTTTTTAAAAAGATCAGACCAATGTCCCAATTAATATGAAAGGTTTATTCATTCTTTGTTTTATTATCAGTGAGTGTTGATAAAAGTGTGCTGCCTTTGAGTGGCTCGACGGAAGTATCCAATGATGGTGAAGTACACTTGGGTGTTTCTCTGATAAGTTGGTTCTGTGATAGCTTCAAACAAGCAGCTCGTTATTGTTCATTGTGGGAATAAAAACCAAGGACTGCAGATGCTGGATAAAAATGAAGTGCGGGAGAAATTTGCTAGGTCTGACAGCAATTGTAGATGGAAAAGCTGAGTTAGTATCTCCAGTCCAGTGTCTCTTTCTTGGAGTTCTGAAGAAGGATCCTTGGATGTGAAACATTAATTCTGTTTTTCTCTCTACAACTGCTGCCAGACTTGCTGAGTTTCTGTAACACGTGTAGTTTTTGTATAAAAAGTATCTGTAGTTAAATAATTGAGGAAAAACATATTTTGTTTAATCCTAACCTTCTGTAATTAATGGACAATTTTGCTTTCAGTTTAAATGCAGACTCACTTATACAATTAGTCATGGACTGTGATTATATCTGGCCTCACTTTCATCATTCAAATTGCAGAGGTATCTCGTTTAGCTATATTGTTTTCCTATCAGTTAAACATTCCGCTATAAAGAAAACAATTCCAATGGTAATTTGAAAGGAATTGCTATGGTGTACTGTTGCAATTCATCTGAGAACATTCTATTTCTAACATTGCATTTTATGTACAACAAGACCATCGCAAATTTTGGCTTCACTTCACTGTTTGAACAGTGCTGCAGACTTGTTAAACAATTGTTTATAAATGTAAAGTAATATTTTATCATCATTTGTCTCTGATTAGTCCTATCTTGTGATATTGCTCCCCTTGGCTCTAGAATATAAATTTAAGATGCTGTTGGTTTGGGAAACTGCAAAATGGGGTCAAGCTGGGGGGTTCAAATCAGGGTTTTAGACGTGAACCACAAGTGTGACCCTCAGCCAGAGCAGAACTGAATAAAGGTGGTAAATCATGACAGGTTTGCTCTTCGGCTCTATGATCCAGTCAGTGTTTCTTAAGCCTTGACACCGTGCATAACGACAGAGGACCAATGAATAAGCAAAGGAACAACACAAAATTCTAGCATTTATACAGGCACAATACTACTGAAAAGCTATAGCTGTCACTACAGGAACTTATTTCTGAATGAAACCTGATTGATTACCCTAACTGAAAGCTACTCTGGTGTTCTTCAGGGTACCCTTAAAGGTGGAGCAGGCAAACAATGCCCGAGAAGCTTTGGCCAAGGCAGTTTATAGCCATCTATTTGACCATGTGGTAAAGCGGGTCAATCAATGTTTCCCCTTTGAGACCTCCAGTTTCTTTATTGGAGTTCTAGACATTGCTGGGTTTGGTAAGTTTCCATCCTTTTATACTTCTCAATATTTAAATTTGGTAATTTAATCAACTTTGATTTTGTATTATAATTGCATCCATGGTTGATCTCTTGTGCGCTCTGTTACCTGCTGCCCCTGCTCTCTGCTGTCAACTCCCCTCCCTTTTTTATGGGGAGGGGGAGGATATACCCCTCTCCTTAGCTTGCCTACCTGTTCTGAGGCTGCCCCAGCACTTCTAATTTTTTTCCAGCTGCACAGATCTTTGTATCAGTGACTTCCAGGACTGGACAAGAATTCTGTGATCAGTGTGCTAATACCCATCCCTGCATCTTAGAGGGAACATTGTTCCCATTTCTCGCTCTCACTGCCCTGTCCTGCCCCCCACCTTCCTCATCTCCCTCTCGCCCATTCACTCCCTTGCCTTTTTGGGGGCTGTAGCTATTGAGATAATGCTAACAAAGTAGATTTGATTTTGTGTTTGAAAGGAATGCTGGTGGGGAAAATGTAGAGGTTGTTGGGGAAGAAAAGCAAACTCACTAAGTCATGTGGGATATAGGGCATGGAGGAGAAGGTGAACCAGACTCTGTTTGAAGAGCAAGGACTTGCAGTTATGGAGCGCAACAGTTCTCGGAAACTGATGAAACACCTTATTGAAGTTGAATCTTTGTTCACAATTTTCAGAAAGCTAGCTTTGCAACTTTGTGTAAATAAATTCAAAGAAGTCAAATTCATCACTTACAGTAGAAAGCAATGGACTGCTTAAGTAGTTGTTGAAGTGAAGTTTCTGCTGAGTTTGTCAAGCCTCATGTCCTTGACACAGTCAACGTATTAGATTGGAACGAGCCGAGTGTCAATTTGTGTTGATTCATTTACATCGATTCAAGCTTCTGTGTAAAAGGGGCAGTATATCTCTAAAATCTGTTCTCTGTAAAAGCTATTTGCAAGCCCACCCCCACAATCTTGCAACAATCTTAGTTCACAGAATTACAGATAATTCAAAGCTCAAGATCATTGAGAAGAGCATTAGCAATCGTTCTGCAGGTGGTGCTGTGTTTGCTGACCTTTTCCAGTTTGTATTTTCAGAATATTTTGAGCATAATAGCTTTGAACAATTCTGCATTAACTACTGCAATGAGAAGCTTCAGCAGTTTTTCAATGAAAGGATCCTAAAAGAGGTACAATGTACACTTATTTCTTGTGTCTATGTCAACTGATAAAACTCATGTAACAGAAAATAAAGATCATATGTTACCCGGAGACCAATTGTAGATTTTTTTTTATGTAGTCTATTTCACTCTGTCGAAGCTCTGCCTTGGGTTTCTGCAGTTTCCTTGAAACATGGTGATAAACCTCCTCTCCCATCTTCCTGGTTCTGTTGTATTTTTCCTGAAAAGTAGTGCCCAGAATTGTCCAGAAAAAACAAGTTAAGGTCTAACCAGTGATTTCTCAAATTCTAACATGATTTATTTGCTCTTTATGTTGTATTGTCATCTTTTAACCTACTTCAACTATATATGTTTTTCTAATTTGATAATGTTGTCTTTCCTTCATTAACTCATTTCTTGCTCAATTAAAATTTAGTCCATCCTTGACTGTATACATTACCTTAAGGGTTCTTGTATATGAACATCATGATCTCTCTCTCTCTGTTCATTTACAATTTGTGTCAATTGCATCATGTATACCGTTGTTGAAATGCATCTTCCAGGAGTGAACCATTTTATACTTTTGCATTTAAAATTTCATTCTCTAAGACCATGAGATGTACGAGTAGGTCATTTAGCCCATTGAGTCTGCTCTGCCATTCAAAGAGAATGTAGCTAATCTGATGGTCTTCAACTTCACTCTTCTGCCTTTTCCCGTAACCTTAATTCCTTTACAGCTTAAAAATTTATCTCAGCCTTGAACATAACGTCAATAGCCTCTGTGGTAAAGAATTTCACAGATTTACTTCTCTCTGAGAATTCCTCCTCACCTTTGTCTTAAATGTGCAAGCTCTTATTCTGAGATTGTCCTCTAGTCCTAGACACACAGTGAAGCAACCTTTCTGAATCTACCCAGTCAAATTCACTAAGAATCTTGTATATTTCAATAAGTTTGCCTCTCATTCTTCTAAACTCATTGAGTCCAGGCACAATTAAGTGCAAATTGAATTGAATGGCTTGCTATACCATTTAAAGGGCAGTTAAAGATAGGCAACAAATGCTGAACTTAGTGGCGCCCACATCCCATGAAAGAATAAATAAGACAAAATTCTCCGTGTCAATTTTTCAGATACTTTTATTTTGCACTAGAAAAAAAGATTGTTGAATAATAACGAATGCAAGAGTGAAATTATTAGACCATTTGGAGAGACACTCATTCATATCAAATATGCTGTTTTTCTCTGAATAACATTTAGTAATGGCAACGTAATGAATAACATTTATTGAGATGGATCAAAACCTGTTCTGAAAATTTCAAGCAATCACTTCAAATGGTTAATAATGTAGCACTGACCTGATGCCCCTGCACTTTTAGGAACAAGAGCTATATCAGAAAGAAGGCCTTGGCGTGAATGAAGTGCACTATGTTGATAATCAAGATTGCATAGGTATGTATTAAAGGAACTTGCTGAAGAGCCTGATTATTGCAATTTTTCCTGATCATTTTGGATGTAAAATGATGACACTTTACATTCTGATCCACTATTAATTGTTAAAGGAGCTGGTGGTCAACATTCAAGTTCTAAAACAGGTGATTACAGACAAATTAGATTATTGTGATCTGCCAAGATTTCTTTGTTTCTGGAGTGGGTCAAAAGGTAGCAAATATTGCATTGCTGTTCGAGAAAGGGACGAGAGAGAATACAGGGAACTACAGGCCAGTTCTTTTGACACTCTGTCTGTCTGTCTGTCTGTCTCTGGAAGCTATTATCAAGAAACAGTAAAAGGCAGTTAAAACATCACTACTGATTGTCATTTGTCATGTTGCTGAGTATTTGGGCTGATAACTAGTCCTGTACTTCTGTTTGTAACCAGAGGATCATGACGTGCTTTTGTCAAGCATGCAAGATTCAAACTTACAATGTCAAAACCAAAATCAAGAACAACTGCTTTCATTGCCACGAGTATAAATGTAAGCTACTGTTTAGTGTGCATGCAAATGCATTTTTCATTTTCCCTTAAAACAGATTTAATTGAAGCTAAATTAGTGGGAATCCTGGATATTTTGGATGAAGAAAACCGTTTGCCTCAAGCCAGTGACCAACATTTTACTGCCGCAATACACCAGAAGCACAAGAACCACTTCCGACTCACGGTTAGTTACTACAGTTGAACCAAAGTCATTTCCAAAGTAGGAAGTCTTTCATTTGTTTCTTCTTCAGATCTCTGATGAGGGTGCAAGGGTTTGTCTTTATGTTTTGGTTTTATGTAAGGGACACATTATCTAGGGCCCCTGCATCTGATTAACATCTGAGTCAAAGAACAAATGTGGATTTTGGATGAGGAAAACGAGTGTTTGGCTACAATTGCTTCCACGCAAAATATTCATCTTAGTAGCTTTCAGATATTATTTAACTTCAGTTTAGGACAGGAGCGGGAGGAAATTGAATACGGAAAACTCAACATGCTTGTTAAATGTATCCAATATTAGTATAACAGGTAATCAAATAGGAGATAACAATCAAAAGAACTGTGGATGCTGTAAATCAGAAACAAAAACAGAAATTGCTGGAAAACCTCAGCTGGTCTGGCAGCATCTGTGAAGAGAAATCAGAGTTATGTTATGGGTCCGGTGACCCTACCTCACACCAAATAGGAGAAGGCAATTCTCCCTAAATATATGCAAGTATTGCATATTAACCCCGATTGTTTCAGCTGTAAGGAACCTGCATGAAAATATGAAGTTGAGCTTGTTTACTGTTATGAGCTGTTTCACACAAGAATTGCCCATGCCCAGTGCACATGCTTCTCTCGGGCTCCATGCAGGTATGGGGCATATGTCGTAAGCCTTTGTCATGGTCAAATATAAATGATCATTTCAGATTGTAACAGGTATTGCCAATTATAATAGGTTCCTAGAGTGGGAGTGATAGAATCTTGCAAAGTGTCTGACTGCTGGGAGATGTTCTCGAGTGAGTGATGGTGAACTTGAATTTCTTTTAATGCAAATCTATATTTTAGATGATGTAACTGCAATCTAGGAACTAATTGGTTATTTTTATGCTGGTGTATCTTTGATACCCTGGACAGAATAGTTAATGACAAATGATGGCTCTTACCATTGACTGATGAAAATTATTTCTGTGATGTGGATTTCACCTTTCCTCAGGGTAAGTGCATCCTAGAACCAACTGTAGAGGATCTCTAAAGTCCCATAGACAAAAATAAATAAATTTTAAATTGAAGAATTTTCACGTGGCAAATCAGGAAATAAACTCCATTAATTAACTTAATTTTTAAAAAAGTACAGGGAATTAAATGAAGATACACAGAAGGGCACAAAGAGATTTTCAGGTTGTGAGTGAGCTTCAAGGTTGAAGGAGGATTACTATAATGGGAAATGGGAAATTATTCATTGGTTGTAAGCAAAGCAGAATATTACATAAAACGTTTGGAACTTGTCAATGCTGATGCTGAGTCTTTTTGGTGTAGTTGCACAAGAATGCAAAAATCACGTGGGTACAGCAAGCATTTAGGATGGCAAATAGCGAGATGGCTTTTATTGCAAGTGAATTTGTGTAGAAATGAAGATGTTTTGCAGCAGTTACATAAACTTTGACACCTAGAATACTGTATGTAGTTTGGATTTCCAGATTACAGAAGGATGTAATTGCATTGGTGTTAGTATAACAGAGGTTCACTAGATTGGCCTCTGGGATGAAAGAATTGCCCTATAAGGTGAAGCTAAGATTGGGTTTACATTTTCAGGCGTTTAGAAAAACAAAGAGATTTTGTTATTGAAAGTGCATGATTTGCACTGCACTGCTTGAAAGTGTAATGGAGGCAGGGTCCATTGATTCCTTTTTTGGAAAGGGAATTGGATTATTATCTGAAAAAGAAGCATTTGCAGAGCGATTGGGGAAAAGACAAGCATGTGGTGAATCACTCCTTCAGATGGCTAGCACTAACATGATGGGGTGAATGACCTCCTTGCGTTCTCTGACTATTCTGTCACTTGACTTCTAGGGACTTGACAGAATGGGGTCTGAGAAGTGTCTTCTGTCTTGGGAATCTATAATACTGTCACAGTCCCTGGATTAGACACATCATTTAGGAGTGGCATAAGGAGAGCTTCCACCAGTGAAAATTGTGAATCTTTGGAATTCACTCCCCTGAAGGTTCTGGGTGCGGCATCATTAAATACAGTGGAGGCTGGAATAGATAGGCTTTTGCTTTCTCAGGGAATCAAAGCATAAGTAAATCAGGCTTGACAGGCCCCAGGACCTTGCTTTGTATTTCTCATCATCTTATGTAATTGGATTAAGATAGAAGCTTAAATATCTTGAATTTTTACAAGTTATTTTTATTTCACTACAATTCATACTTATAAAGGAGACACTTGACGTTTCATAAATGTAAAGTTGTTTCTTCAGGGCCGAGTAAGTTGATAGGTAATTATGATTGTACACTGTTTAAAAACTCTAATTCAATAAAGCAATTTTTTTTTTTGGTGGGTATGATTTACAATGAACTAGAATGTTTAAAAAGTTGAAGTTCCCAACAATTCAAGTGAATGTTAAAATTTCCAACAGTGTTTTCTGGAGCACAGACCCACTGACAGCACCATCTGGATTTCTGCTTTCAATTAGATATGTATAGATCACAGAAATTGTTACCTTTACAGTTATAATGACCATTATTGCTATCATCGAATATGACTAGTGAACTTTTATAATTGCTTAGGGGAGGTGATGGCCTAGTGCTATTATCACTAGACTATTAATTTGGATATACAGGTAATGTTGTGGGGACTTGGATTTGAATCCTGCCATGGCAGATGGTGGAATTTGAATTCAGTGTTTTAAAAATAAAAATCTGGGATTTAAAGTCTAATGATGACCATGAAACCATTGTCAGTTGTCAGGAAAAATAAAATAAACATTTTTAAAAAATTTTAAATGTAAAACAAAATTTAAAAGAACGTTTAAAGAAAAACCCCATCTGGCTCAGTAATATCCTTTTAGGGAAGGAAACTGCCATTCTTACAAGGCCTGGCCTACATGTGACTCCAGACCTACAGGAGAGTGGTTGACTCTTACCTGCCCTCTGGGCAATTAGGGATGGGTAAAGAACACTAGCCTAGCCAGTGATGCCCAACTGAAGGAGATGGCAAACAAGATTTGTGAGAAATTAGTCATGAATGGGTTCTGAACCTGACTTTTAAAACACATTCTTGGAATGAAACAGTATTCATGTGATACGTATGCATTCTTTACGTTGTGTAGATTCCTAGAAAGTCAAAATTGACAGTTCACAGGAATATCCGTGATGACGAAGGGTTTATCATCAGGCACTTCGCTGGAGCAGTCTGCTATGAAACAGTAAGTTTTATATTCCATGGATTTTATGTAGTCCTTCAAAGCCAAAAAGAAAAAGAATACAAGAAAGAATAACATTAATGTAGTGTTCTTCGTAAGGTTGGAGATCCAAAGTGATTTACAACTAATTAAATTCTTTTGCAATGTAATCACTTGTAATGTAGGAAACTTGACAAACAAATTGAACGCAACAAAAATCAAAATGTATCAACTTAATAAAAACCAGCAAGCAGTTTAGTGAAAAATATTTACCAGGTGACCAAAGGGAATTCAAATTCTTAAAATAGTCATAGAATCCTTATAAACCCCCTAAGAAACTTAACACCTACTCTCAAAAGACCCTGGACTTCCAGTTCTTGGCGAACGACTGCTCGAGGAGTGTTTTCACGGATTATTCTTGATACTTCTAGTTTTTTTTAATGCTACAGTGCGTTGATCTTTTTCTCAGTTATTAGGTATTTCAAAATATTCATGAAACACTTGAATGTATGAAAAGTGTCATTATTGTTTATCGTTTGGATATCTAAGATAAATTTTCCCATTTTTTTTTCCTGTTGTGCTTGCAAATGGCTTTACTTTAAGGTTTTGGAGTAGATCTGTAGCTCGGTTTGTGGGTGTTGAGGTTGGTTGGCTCGCCGAGCTGTTTTGTTGTTCCGCAGACGTTTCGTTACCGTGCTGGGTAACATCCTCAGT